TTTTTTTAATTTAGGTTTTCAGTGATTCATTTTTCTTTAGAAGAAACGCTTTTCTTTAAAACCTTTGTGTATTTTTTTGAAACACAGTTCTGTCCGCAAGACTTTTGAGCATATTTTTTGGTGTTTTTTTATTTATTCATTTTGGTTTTCTGATTCTTCTTTCTTTTAAAGAAATGTTGTTATTTAAAACCTTTGTGTATTTTTTTGAAACACAGTTCTGTCCGCAAGACTTGGACAGTTTTTTGAGTTTTGTTTTTTATTTTACTTTTTCGGTTTGCAGTTATTCAATGTTCTTTTAAATAATCATTTTTCTTTAAAATTTTTGTGTATTTGTTTATAACAGTTCTGTCCGCATTTCAAAATCCAATAGGAATAAATTATTAAAAGTAAAAGTAATGATTGAAAGTGAGCACAAGTAGTTTCTGTACTGACATTTCTTAGGAGGTGACCTCCCCAAAASCTGCAGAAAGTACTATTTCATTAGAATAATTAGCAGATTTGTAAYATAGGAAGCACTAGTCTGTTTCAGTTTATGTACTTATCTCAAGGCTACCCAAAGGTTTTCCAAAAATTAAAATCTGTCTGAGGGCTTCGGCCAAACACTAATATATTTCATCAAATTGTAAATGTATTTTATTGAATCACATTCACTACATAGTGCACATGTAAAGCTTTCAAACGCACAAAGACGACCTGTCATTGCAGGGACTTTGTTGATTGTCTAGCCGTAAATCATATTATAAACAAGACAGACTGTTATGAACAGCTAATGTGATTGTATCAAATATATGACCCATCATATCGAAATAAGGATTACGGTAAGTCACATTTAATAGGAAAAATCGCAAAAATTTAAAGCGTTTATGCTCAAAATCTGTGTTTTTGTTGCTACTGCTCAAAAGATGCTTCAAGAATTTATTTTATGGTTACATTTCAGACAGTTCATTCAAATGACACATTGATAACGCATTAATTCATTATGTTTTGACAAAATTCACTTTTTGCAAATGTTTTGATCAATACCTTGATCATTTGCCTATTTCTCTCTCGTAGTTTAGCTGTAATGTACAATGTATTAACACACCTCACAATTTTGTGCATTTTTGTGAGAATAACAAGTTAGAAAAAACACAAGACAAAAAAAAAACTACACTACCAACTATTTTGAAAGTTATTGCAGTGATGACTACAAGTGAACTAGAACTGCAAATGAACGTCCACACAGCAGGCATCAGAGAGACACTTCTTGAATGTTAAGGTTTCAGTTGTCCTCTTGTCTGTGGGCTGGGCATTCACTGCATGCAGATGCAACACCGGCCATGTCACTGAAACAAAAACAGAAAGTTACTTATAGTTTTATCATTTTAGCATTTAATAAAGTTTGCGTAATATCAGTGCTTTACCTCAGCAATAATCGTGATCCACTGGGGCCTCAACAAGAGCAGAAACCTCAGCTGATATTCGGTCTCTCCAAGCAGCCCCGCCTACAGCTTCCAGGTCATCCTCCACCATATCCTCATCATCGTCATCCTCTGTTTCATCCTCCGGCGCCACGACGGCTCCAGCCCTGAGACAGATGTTGTGCAAGACAGCACACGCTGTGATAACCTGTGAAAGTGGGAAGAGTCACTAGAATTATTGTTATTGCTTGAGCTTTAATCCCTATTTTCCTTGTAGAACAGGTGTATTTACTTACATGAGGGGCAAAGGTGTGGTGAACCTCCAGTGTTTGAAGGAAGATAGCCCTGAACCTGSTCTTCATCATCCCAAAGGCACGCTCTATAATGCAGCGTGCCCTTGAGTGATAGCTGTTAAAGCACTGAGCTGCAAAACCTCTTACTGGCCTCTTGTATGGAGTGATGAGGGGGAGTGGTCGCTGAAGGCAGGGGTAGCCTCYGTCAGCAAGGATGAAATGTCCAGCTGGAGGGTACGCTGACCTGTAGATAGGGCTGTGCCGTAGCACTCTTGCATCGTGGACCGACCCAGGCCAGCCTACATGTGTGTCAATGAAACGACCCTTACTATCACAAACTGCCTGCAGTATAATCGATGCAAACAGTTTTCTGTTCTTATAGCATTGACCATCAGGGCCGTTAGGTGGCTTAATATGAACATGGCATCAATCAATTGCTCCAGCTGCCTTATTGAAGGCGTGGTGTCTTCCCAGCCCCGCAAACCCTTGGCCTACTGCTTCAAGATCCTCAGGTGTAGCTGGCAAGCGGAGACCTGATGGCGTATAGCCACTACTTCATTTGTCACCCTGTGGAAAATGCAGTGGACAGTTGAACGAGGCATGTCGAATGCTCTTGCCACCACTCTGTAGGATGTCCCACAGGCCATCCAGAATAGGAAAACGAGGGTCTCGATTGTTGAACCCCATCCATGTCGCTGGTTCTGTTGCATGTGGTTCATCAGTACTGCCAGGGACGCTCTGCTCAACCTGAAGTCTGGTATAGTGTCCTCATCATCAAAAAATCTTTGGAGTACTGGTACTGTGATGTTAATTCTGCAGTACTGGGGCCTTGTCTTAAAAACAAACAAACAAACAAACAAACAGCAACTAAAGGACATTACAACATAAGTGGCTACAAAAGGGAATCAAATTTG